CGATGCCCTTGTTACCAGTACCGATGCACTTACTACTAGTAGCGATGGCCTTGCTACTAGTAGCGATGCCCTTGTTACTAGTAGTGATGCCCTTGTTACTAATAGCGATGCCCTTGTTACTGGTAGCGATGCACTTACTACTAGTAGCGATGCCCTTGCTACTAGTGGCGATGCACTTACTACTAGTAGCGATGCACTTGTTACTGGTAGCGATGCACTCACTACTAGTAGCGATGCACTTGCTACTAGTAGTGATGCCCTTGTTACTAGTAGCATGCATGCACTTACTACTAGTAGCGATGCACTTGCTACTATTAGCGATGCCCTTGTTACTAGTAGCGATGCCCTTGTTCTACACTAGTAGCCATGCACCTACTACTAGTAGCGATGCCCCGCTACTAGTAGGGTTGCCCTTGTCACTAGTAGCGATGCACTTGTTACTAGTAGCGATGCCCTTGTTACTAGTAACGATGCCCTTGTTACTAGTAGCGATGCGCACTTGCTACTAGTAGCGAGATGCACTTGCTACTAGTAGCGAGATGCACTTGTTACTATAGTAGCGATGCACTTGTTACTAGTAGCGATGCCCTTGCTACTAGTAGCGATGCCCTTGTTACTAGCAGTGATGCACCTGTTACTAGTAGCGATGCACTTGCTACTAGTAGCGATGCACTTGTTACTAGTAGCGATGCTATTGTTACTAGTAGCGATGCCCTTGCTACTAGTAGCGATGTGCCCTTGTTACTAGTAGTAAGTAGCGATGCACTTAATACGGGTAGTAAGTAGCGATGCACTTGTTACTAGTACCGATGCACTTGCTACTACTAGTAGCGAGATGCACTGGCTACTAGTAGCGTGATGCATTTGCTACTAGTAGCGAGATGGACTGGCTACTAGTAGCGAGATGCACTGGCTACTAATAGCCAGCCAGTTGCACTTGCTGCTAGTAGCCAGATAGCGAGATGCGCTTGTTACTAGAGTAGCGAGATGCGTTTGTTACTAGAGTAGCGTACTAGAGTAGCGAGATGCGTTTGATACTAGAGTAGCGAGATGCGCT